AATAGGTTTCCACATTGTACCTAAAAAGATTCAGAACAGCATAATGAAAACTTTGTATAAGCAGCAGCTCACTCTTTGTAATGAAAGGAAACTTATCAGTAGGGTGGGCAGATGGCAAAGAGGACTGGGAGTCTGCACCTTCTAACAATTGTGTGGAAGAAGGAAGCTCAGCAGGTTGCAGCTTGTCATGCAATCTCTTCCAGCTGAAAGTACCTCTTCTACACAACTATGAAAGGTGTAGGAGCCCATCCTCTTTTCCAACTGACAGAACAGATTGGTCAGAACAGATGGATAACGTAGCATAGGATAAGTAAGGCTATGTGTAAAGAAAGTCTGTTCTAACCATACTATCTATTTAGAAGTGTCAATGAATTCAGTTCACTCAGTGAGTGAATTTATTCAGGTTCTACTTGCTGGTTTCCCTTGGGCATCTTGTTGTCCACTGTGAGACCAGGCAGATGGACTAAATGGGCTGATACAGCAGGCTCGTCATATGTTCTTAATTGGGCTGCTAGGTAAATGGGTACTGGATTGCACCATTTCCTAAATACACTCCCTAGGGATTACCACAGTGGGTCTCATGTTTGGTTTAAGTAAACCTCCTTAGAATTTCAGCATAAAGCTCTGCCACTGAAATAAATAAATGGGATTTAAGAATGAGCATTTCCCAGTGCATTTTAATGTAATGCATGCAAAAGCTGCATGTTGTATTCAGTTGTAGCTAGGAGAAACAAAATCTAGTTAAGAATCAGCAATAAATATGTCACAAAATGCCTTAAAGTTAGAAGTCTGAACTTCATATATTATGGCTGTTACAAGATATATGACTTCTTTTTGTACTGCCATTAAGCTGAATATTGCTATTGGAGTGGGGAGTCTAAATGATAGGCTTTGTTTTTCATTCTAACATTTCAAATGGAAATTACACTATTGCCCATTGGGAATATTCAGAAATAAGAATCTATAGAACAACCTGGTATTTCTGCAGAAAGAAAATTCATTCTCCATTTAAATAGCGAATCTCATACAATAATATAAAACCCTACTGTATTTTCTCAGGAAAACTTCTATGAAACAGATTAATGCCTCTGTGTGTTGCAAGCAGAAAGTTCAAACAATCCATCCACATTAGTTACAGAGTATGTAGAAGCTGTATAGAATAATGCAACTTATATTTTCACAGGTAACTCTCTATCCCTGAAGAGGGAATTGCAACACCAGTAGGGTATGTCGAGATATGCATGCCACTCCATCCCATCCCAGGGTCCCAATCTGGTTTACCAAAGAGCTGTCCACCACAGACCTTTCCATGCTAAGCATTATCAGAGGGCCCAAGCACTAAATTGAACATGCTTAGAAGCCCCTTCAGACATTCATGCTCAACCCAGAAAAATCAGGTATGGTAGTGGTAGGAACATCAAATGCAGGACATCAAAGGCAGGGCTGGTGCCCATCTCCCTAGTTGTGTTGTGCTTTCCTGGTCAGGCATTAACAGGAACTGGGAGATAAATATTGCAAATCTTGTCGCATTTTTGTGAATCTGTGAGTTACCTATGTCGCTGCAGGTGATAGGCATGTGTTCTGCTAGTTAGAACCTGTGGTTTGAACCAGTATGGCCATTCTTCCCTATGTTCTTAGATATGCAGAGGAAGTTTAGTAAGATAGGTTTTTTTTATTTGATAGTGATACTCATGCTTGTTCATGAGGGAAGAATTAAAATAATAAGCTATATAAAAAAGGAAGCCATATGCATAAAGTAGACATACATATGTTAGATACCTTTTTGCCAATAGAAACCAAACTGTTTCTGTGCTATTGCCTTGCTCACTGCTGTGATATGAACTGTGGATCACTGGGGTATGAGAAACTGTTCATTACAGTGGTATCTAATGCATTCTTCTGTGTTTTATGTTCTGACATATTACATTTTATTTATAAATTGGTAAAACTAAGTGTGAAATGCATTTCATCTCATAATGGGGGAATTAGAAGGCATACTTCTGTCTTTTGTTCTTAGGCTCAAAAACAAATGTGTGTGTGAAAGAGAGAGAAAAACAGAACTGACAGAGATGTCAGGGATTGCTAAAACCTAAATGCATTTAAAATCTTACTGATAGCTTGCTGATTTCTGTGTAGTGCAATTTACTTTCATTTTAATTAGAAGCTTTCCTTAATGCTGTTTTCTGACTATCTCATTAATACTGTTCAGATGTGATTAGTTCTGGTGCCAATTCTGCCACTGCGACAAGTTGTTCACTGCGATACCAACCACACACTGCACTAGCAATGAAGAAGAAATTAGTTCCATCTACATTAAGTGGAATGACCACATTCATACTGGATTAATGTATGGATCAGAACACAATGATCCTTTGGATTTCACACTTCTCCAGATTTTGTAATATCATTGCCTTCTCAACAAACATAGCAAAAACATACCAATAGAAAGTGTGTATTTTGGGAATACAATGTATTTTCTGAAATGTGTACATTGCAATGAAATATATATTTAAATTCTGATGATAGGAGTTTTCACAGGCTGATGTGGAAACAGGATGGAACAGACTTATGAATAAACACAAGCAAAATGGACAATGACGCACAACACACTGATCCATCCATCCAACATGACATTGAAGGGAAACAGCATACTGGAAATTGAAATGCCATAAATTTTGCTGCTCTACTCTCCTAGGTTCTGCTCACAAGAAAGGGGGTTGCTGCTCCAATGGAATCTTAAATGTACGTCTGGTGGATTAGGAACATAAGAGCCCGGCTGGTTCAGGTCAAAGGCCCATGTGATACAGCATCTTGCTCTCACAGTGGCCAACCAAATGCTTTTGAAATCCTGCATGCAGGAGAGTGCACCAGCCCTATCCCCACTTGTGATACCAACAACTGGTATTCAGAGACGTGCTGTCTCTGACAGTGGAGGTAGCACAAAGCCTTATCCTTCAAGAATTTATGCAGTCCTTTTTTAAAGCCATCCAAGTTGGTGATCTCAGTACCACTTTGGGAAGTGAATTCCACAGTTAAGCTATTCCCTGTATGAAATACCTCCTTTTCTCTGTCCCAAATCTTCCAATATGCAAAGCTTCCCTGGATGTCTCTGAGTTCTGGTATTATCAAACAAAAATGTCTCACTATTCACATTCTTCACACTATACATAATTTTATATCACATCTCTTACTCACCTTTTCTGTATACTGAAAAAAGCCCCAAATATTGCGCCTGGTGAAAATCAGAATGGGTGAAAATAGCCTGCATTAGTGGATGCCTCTATTGAATCAAAAAGGCATTGTGCATGTGGAACGGCAGCATTAAATTTCACCCAATTTGACTTACATTTGTATCTGAGCATAGACTGCATACTACAAAGAGATAATGTGAATGCTTGTTACTTTTAGAATGGAGAAAATGAAAACACCAGAGGTTTTTGTGTCTGTTGGCAGTGAAGGGATGGATTGGCAGGTCCGTGTGGATTGCAGCCTAACCAGAAATAGTGAAGACTAGCAGTGTGATGTTATCTGAAGCTTGAACTTAATAAAGCAAATAAATGGAAATGGTTTAACATATCCATGTCATATAAGTTAAAGACTGGACCACCATACGAGATTTTATATTGAAGACAGAGAAGAATAGAACATAAAACTACTTTCTCGCCTGCAGTGGATTTCCCAGGAGATTTTACAAGAGGAATAATGCTTATGCCCAAAATAAAAAATGAGTTTTGAATTGTACCTAAAGCTACTTAATACACTTAATAACAGTCATGTTGTTAAATACAGTATCGCGGTAGACATACCAGGATTTAGTGTGAAAACCATTTGCTAAACAAAGGTTCCAGTGTCTTCCAAATAAGATGTGTGGAAAGCATATTCTACAAGGATTTCTATTTCAAATAAGGTTCAAGCTCAAGCACTATCTTTTATCATGTGTCAAGCATTTAGCCGGATATTGGAATAAAGGTTTTGCAGGTTGAAGATCTCAGATTCAGTCCATAGCACCACCAGATAAGGTCAGGAAAGACCCCTACTGGTGTTCTGTTGATTTGGATCAGAACCAAGGCCTATCTCATACCCCTCAACAGTCCTGATTTGAGTGGGACACCCTGTAATTACAGACGCCATCCCGGCTTCTGATTGGATCCTGGAATGTCCCATTTTTTGGTCCAGCACCCTCGTGCGAATCAGCTGGCTTACATCAGAGTGACAGATGCAAGGCTCTCCTCAAGCTCCTTATGTTCCTGTGTCCTTGTTTGACTCCACCTGTGATTGCAACCTTCCCTTCCTTTATGTCCTTCAGAAACATGGCCTCCTCATCTTCGCATGGGGAGGTGGATGAGAGCTGGCCATTTTAGGCAGCTACGCCTATGTGACCGAGGTGGCCCCCTTCACCTGACCAGGAGAGATGGGGTGAGGCCAGAAGCGCTGGAGAGGCTGTTCATGTCCAGCACCAGGTGAGCAGCTTATGTAAGGTTGGGGCTTTGAGGCCTAGCAGCGGAGGGAGCAGGAAGCGCTTTCAATGCTGTCACCACTGTGACTGCCCTGGGCTGGTTCATAGCTAGTGCAGAGGGGAGGCCACCTGACAATGTAGCAAAAGGGGAAGAGGGACCCTCAGGGCATCTCTGAGGGTCCCCTCAAAGGAGTCCTGGCATGAAAGGGCTCCTATTGGGTCCTGTGTGAAGCTGGGAGCATCCCAATCCACGGGATGTTGGATGGTATGCCATCTAGCATCCTGTAACCAGTAGGAGCTAATCAAACATCTCTGGAAAGGTCAAGAGCAATGCCAAGGGCAATAGCCATCTCCTATTGTTCTTCCCCAACAGCTGGCATTCAGAGTGATGCTGCCTCTGATCTTAGAGGAAATGTAGAGCAAACATGACTAGTAGCAATTGATAGCCTCATGCAGCATGTATTTAATAATAATTTAGCAGTTGGGAAACTAGCTGAAGGGGTGAGGGAGGTAAGTCCAGAGACATTTTTCCTCATTTCCTTGTCCATAGCTCAATAGTTGAGCATCTGCTTAGCATGTTGAAGGTCCCAGGATCAATCTCTGGCAGGTAGGGTGGTAATATATCATGCCTGAAATCCTGGAGAATCAGTCAGTGCAGACCATACAGAGTTAGATGGACCAATGACCAGAATCAATATAAGGCAGCTTCCTGTGTTTAGTGCACAGCAAATCACATGCTCTTTTTTCATTGGCTTATTCAGATGTCAATAATTCAGGAAGCTGTCTTGATGGTGACACCAGGACTCACTTATACTCATTGTACTCCAGGCCAAGGGAAACAAGCTGCCCATTATTTTGACTCTTAAATATAGCAAACCTGCTGGTTACTGCTGCATATATTGCAGAGGTAGAAAGGAAATTTTACTGCAGAACTAGGAGGGGGAAATGTTCCCCTGTATTTCTGATTGCAGTTTGCAGCTTTGCCTTACAATAAGGACTGGGATCCAACATATGTTACCTTGTATACAGCACCATTGACTGGAAAAGAGGAAGAATTTATATTTGAGAAACCAACTTCCTTAATGCCACATGACACTGAATTTTGAAAGGGAAGAAAAGTATCTTGACACCAGCAGGGGAGGGGAGGGGGGAATCCTCAGCCTGCCTGCCTCAGCAGGAACAGATAAGTCAGGATGAAAAGGCCTTGTTGGGTGGTGGGGCGGGGGAGAAAGGATATAAAAAAACTAAAGGACCAGTAACACGATGTTCTGTTAGTTAAAGGCTTTGTGTGCATTGACTCTTTTGCTCCTTTATTTGCATTTGCCAAAGTGAGCAACGCTGTGGAAAATTACTTTATCTCTCAGAACCGATTCTGCTTTCTATACTACTCGAGGTGGCAGGCAATACAGAGATAATTCAGTCTATCAGCAAATGCTATTGTCTGTCAGCTGTAAATACCGGAGAAAGTTCAGTATTCAGCTAATGCCAATTGGTGTTGATAGCCCATAGTCAAGATTATAGATCTTGGGTGGGGGTGTTCTTTGCTTTTTAAAAGAGAATTAAATGAGATTTTCCTTGCAAAGACTCTGCCTCTCAGCTTCTTCCAATAATTGGACTTTTTGTATTTTTTTCCTATTAAACTCATTCCCTTGTCCACACACTTGAGTGGTTATTTTAAAGTGGTGTTTTGAGACAACCATTAAAGTAGTGTTTTGATACAGCTTGTAATCCATAGACTTTACAGTAGCCCCATGAAAAAATAAATCAGAGTCTCTGAAGTAAGCCACAAACCACTTCTTTCAAGCAACCCCAAGACCATAACCCCACAGAAGGAAGCCAACAGTTGTACTAGCTTCAGCACATAAACCAGTTTATCCTGGTCTCATTAATAACTCCAAAGCAACTGGCTTGAAGCAGGGTAGACCCATTTACAAACATCTTTGGCATCTCTCTCTCTCTCTCTCTCTCTCTCTCTCTCTCTACATCAATATCCCGTTCTGACCCCGGACCCCTGGCAATACTATTGCTAAAGGCTGCTAGCACTGGCAATTTCACGAGTGTTTGAATTCTGCATTCCTAGACATCAACACTTACGGTGTCATACACTGCATAAAAAACTGCACTCATTTGCTCTTGCATGCTAATAAGAACACCATACCAATCGAACCTTGATACAACTTGATACCAATCGTTCTTGATACAAGAACGATGCTTTTCTGTGTACAGTGGTACCTCACGTTACATACACTTCAGGTTACATACGCTTCAGGTTACAGACTCCACTAACCCAGAAATAGTACCTCAGGTTAAGAACTTTGCTTCAGGATGAGAACAGAAATCATGCTCCAGCAGCGCGGCGGCAGCAGGGGGCCCCATTAGCTAAAGTGGTGCTTCAGGTTAAGAACAGCTTCAGGTTAAGAACGGACCTCCAGAACGAATTAAGTACTTAACCCGAGATACCACTGTATTGTATTAACAGGCACATATGTGCACATACACCAGTAAAACAAGGCACAAAATCTCAGTGCAATCCTACTTAGATGCTGTTGCTCATGCTGCTGAAACGGTTCATCAATGGATACATGCCCATTTGTTTGTTTGTTTCAGCACTTATACGCAACCTTTTAGTCAAAGTGGTTCTCAATGAGGCTTACAAAAACCAGTATTAAGATGGTCCTTGTCCCCCAGGCTTTCAGTATAAAAAGGTATGACATAGAAGGAAAGTGGGGAGAGGGGTGGTCTTCATGGCTCTGTTGTCATGGTGAGACCATGACAGCAACTAACCCCTTCTGCAAGGGTGGGGGTCCAATTAAGATGCTCCATCTTATGAGTCCTGATTGATTCCTGAATGCCGCTCCCCCGCAATCAAGTAAAACAATAAAAATACTTAACAAACTTACCAGTCACATTGGTTCTGCCCCTCTCCAAACAAAAATCCTGGCTACACCCATGTTCTGAGGTACCTGCAATGCTTCCTGGTATTCTAGGCTGCTGCGTGTGATGAAGCAGGCTGGATCATGGCTAGAGATGAGGGGGGAGGCCCGTTTAATCTCCCTGTAAACAAGTGGTACAGTGACAATAAAGTATTTCTATTTCTAGAGGACCTGTGGCAAAGAACTCACTCCAAGGCCTATAACCAAACACTTGCCAGAGCACATAATCACATTACTATCCGGCAATGAAGACAGCAGAGAAGTCTGACTTCATGTCTTCTATTGCATCCTCAAGTAGTCATCTAGCAGTGCTTTTCTGGGTCATCAGGAATCTGGTCTCATCTGTTGGGGGGAATGGGCCTCTGGACACAATAGAAGCCAGCTGTGACTATTTGTCTCATTATTTTGAGGATGAAGTCAGTCGACTCTGCAGCAATTTAGATGCTACCTTTATGGCTACAGTTCCTGCTGAGATGTCCAATGCTCTGTCATCCCCAGCCAACACATGATGAACACTGATAAAGCCCTATGAGATGCATATAGCTAAAAGCCAAGAGTTTAGCACCCATTTTCAAATGGGGCTCCCAATCCAAGCAGTGATCAAACAGACACCGTTGCTTTCAGGCCTTCCTCATTCTAGCTACATTGAGGCTAAACTGCTTTAGGCACTTTAGAGGAGAGGGGGAGAGAGAGAGAGACAGAGATACAGTGATGCAGATAGAGATCTCAAATGTCTTTAAGGAAATACATTCAATACTGTTGAGAAATGTTCCCAATTATTTGGATAACTGCACAGTAAAATAACCTTCTGGCATAGGTGTATAATTGGCACAGAAAAATGTACCCATCCCTCTGCTATGAAATGCTTCATACCACAGAAAACAAGTTCAACCTCACACTCCATAAAACAAGACTGGATTTGGAGAATGCTATGGATTGTGCCTTAATTATTAATCCTAGAAGTCTTTGTCACGTGAAAACAATAAAAAAACTGTGGTGCTAAAATTCACTTATAAAGAATTCAATTAGAGACTTTAAGAGCACTATTAAAAGCATAATTGGGGGGAAATTATTGTGTTCTAATGTCTTAAAATTAAGTCAACATGTAGCATAGTCTGAATAAAAGGTTTTTTATAAACCTGTAACAAAAAAGTTCTCTCTTTTGTGCTCATACACAGAAATCTATATCCATCCATACAAAGTAGCCCAGTACTTTAAGGAAAATAGATTTTGAATGGAAAAATTGCTGTTAAATAGCATTCAGTTCAAGTTATAATGTCATAGCTGAAAGAGCTGTCACCACCTTGTATATTTTGTCAAATTACTAGGGAGCCATAGCCCTGCTTTTGGAGATAACTAATTAGAGAGAAAGCTTTGATCTACTTGACTAATGGTTTTATTGTCCTTCTTTAAACCACAGTTGAATGAGTGTTAGAAAGCTTTACACTATTCAGCATGGAACAGAGAATCACGATCCATAATTCTTGAAATTAACAGTGAAATTCTGTGCATATCTACTTTTGTGCATATCTACTCAGAAGCAACTCCCACAGAATTCAATAGGACTCATGCCCAGGTAAGTGTGTTGAGTTGCAGTCCTTTCCCCCTCTGAAGCCATACTGAAGTAGCATGCTAGACCATCATATTCCAGATTCTGACAGAGCAATCCATTGCATATCTACCCAGATGTGAGCCCCACTGAACTCAATGAAACTGAGTAAGTATATGTAGGCTTGCCGACTGTCTTACGCCTTTTTACCACCAACAAATGATCATTTTCAGCAAAGGCTAAAAAGCTCTCATACAAATGGATGTGTTTAGAAACACCATTGAGATGGAGCCTAAATCTGCTGCATGCTTCCAGTCACTGTTGTCTGAGGGTCTGTTAGCTGAGTGAATATAATATATTTGATCAGCTGGTTCCCACAAACCAGCATTTGGCTGCAGACATTCTCCTTGAGATGGTTTGCTTCAGTACATGCCCATATGCAAAAACACTAGCATGTGGACAACCACTGGGATGGACCTTGATAATATGGTACCCTGTGCAAGGCCAAAATTTGGCACACTTTCCCAAAGCCAGGTATGGGAGATGCTGGTCTTTGGGAAGAAAGCACAAGGCTTTGGGAAGGAGGCACGAAGGTATCCCTTGGCTCCTGCGCCCTGACTGGAGGAACCAGTCACACAGCCCTAAATCCTCAATCTTTGATTCCTATGGTAGGACTCCTACCAAAGGAAAGTTTACAGAGGAATCCCTCAAACCTAGATGAGGTGCTGCATAGTCCTCATGTGAAATAGTCCTCTATAATTGGATGGTGATGATTAAAAGGTTTAAAGTAAAAACAACAACTGAATTGCTTTTTTTCAGCAGAGATAAAGTGATACTGTTTGGCATAACTGAATTGAACAAAAAGATTGCAACAACAATTATGGGAAACCAGATTGGTCAGTAACTATGGCAGAGTTAAAAGTTAATGATAGACATTCCTTCTGTTGGTGGGACCTGGTGAGCATACTTAGTGACAGCAGCATGCCGGAGAAGCAGTCCAAGCAGTGGTGGACATCTGTGTCTTGATGCCCCTCTTTAGGTCCTACAATTTGCCCAGCATACAGACATTCTGTGTATGGTGGCACCTGGCACCTTGCCAGGCAATTGCAAGGCCCCTAGTCTCCCTCTGG